TTTCTTGACCCTCTTAATCTTAAAACTCTCATCAAATAATTGACAATAAGATTCGTGAATATCAGGTTCATCTGCTGATTTCTCACTCTCTTCATCACTTTCAACCTTATCAATTTCCTTATCAGATTTTATAGTAGCTATAGATATGAAGGTCATGAACTTTTGTTCATCTTCACTACCAGAAGTATCACTCTGAGCACTAGAATCTGATTCATCATTACTCAAGGTCACTGCTAAAGCCTTACGTCTACCTTTATTTGAACTCTTTTTCAGTTAGGACATTTATTTCTATAGCAACCGTAAACCTAACACTCATGGCATCTAACAGATTGAGTTTTCTTATTAGCAGTCCTAGAGTCACTCTCTTCATGATTATCTTTCACGAATTTACTAGGGAATTCATTTTTCCGTTCTTGAGGTTTTCTCATAATCCTTATCACTTTCTGAATTTTTTTAACGAAATAAGTTATTTCGTCATCCCTAAATGTCTCAGCATTAGAAGACTCACTCTCTTCTTCTCCAATAGTGTTCATGGCTATAGATTTAACCTTTTTTATGTTAAGAGACGGTGAGTTCATAGGTTTGGAGGGATCTTACGAGTTCTTCTATCTTAACTGCATCTAAGTCCTTTCTTCCTTCAATAGCGTTGACTTTAGGTCTAAACCTTTCAAGTAGGAATCTAAGGACTTTTCTAATGATTTTGGACTCGGGGATCCTTTCTCCTAGGTTAAAACTCGAGTTAACTATGTCATTCAGCTTCTCATAGAATTCATTGAACGATTCGTCGTCTTCATTCTAATTTCTTCAAACCTAGAGGCTAAGATTTGCAGTTTAGAATTCTTAACAGTTTTCATTTCCTCATATGTGGTTTCTAAGATGTCCCAAACTTCTTTAGCAGTCTCACACATCGACACTCTCCTGGGGACACAGCCATGAACAGAGTATGAATGCCCTTACTATTCCGGTTACACTCAACTAAATCATCTTTAGTCCATAGTGAGATATCAGTGGGTGTAACTACACCAATAGCAGCAGTTGAAAGTAGAGTCCACCCAGTTTGAACTCTAATCCAAATATATTCATCCAAAACTTTAAGGAAGGCTCTCATTCGAACTTTCCAAGCATATTTGTTTCTGTCGAAAAATGGAGGCACACACAGTGACTGACTCATCTATAATTTATTAAGGCCTAGGAATCGAATTAATGCTCTAATACCAATTGAAAGTACGTAGTTTGACCCTAACAACACCTATGCGGAATTAAAAATTGTTTAATAATTAACTAACAACAAGTCACTATTAATTATTTTTCTAAATGATTAAACAAGAAATTCAATTAGTC